AGCTGTGACCTCCGAGGAACCCGCGGAGGAGCGGGCGGCCGCCGAGGCCGAGCTGTGCCCTGGGCCGGGGCCCGACTCGGGGCGCAGGGGAGGGTCAGCCCCCGGTCTCTGTCTGGCCCCGGGCAGTAGGTTGTGGCCCCTCCCTGTTGTATGAGGAATGGACAGGACAGAGATTGTCCCAGCCTGAAAAAGCTCGTGTCTGGTCTGGATGTAGTCTTTCTGCTGGTATGGGAGAGCTGGGGCCAGATTGCAGCCCTGTTTGTTCTGGAGGAGGATGGCTCCCCTGCCAAACCCTGACACCATGTGCTGTGTGCGATGAGGGAGCAGGGTTCACTCGTTCTGCCAGACAGGACGCCACGCTGGCTGTTTTCTCTGACTGTTGATGAAAGACATGGCCAAGGGTATGCCTGCCTACCTGCATGCTACAGACATAGGCCTGGTCTCTGTTAGATCTGTTGCTTTCACAGGGGGTGCCTCCCATCAGCACTGGCAAAGTTGAATTACCCACTAGTACTTTATTCACCTTACCATTCAGTTGAACCACAGGCAGACACACATGAGCTACCTTTGCTGTGATTCATCTCCAGCCTGGCAAGAATTGGGAATGGAAGCCTTTGAACATGCATAGCCATGATGAGCTCTGCATTCTTCAAGGCATCAGTATTCCCCAAATCTCATGTGTGAGGGAGTGCCCTGAGAAGAAGGGCCGTGGGGCTGAAACTGAGCTGGAGATAATAAACCTTCATTGCCATCTCCATACAGCAGCATGTATTCGCCTCATGTTCCCCTCCTCTTCTTTAGTTCCTTTGCTATCAAGGCTTCCCCCTGCTCTTAGCTATCCTGAGTATCCCAGCTTGTTGTTATTCTGGCTAACAAAGAGAGGATTATATCTAATGGTGATGACTTGAGACCCATGAGATGTGTAGTTGGTGATCAGTTGAATGTAGCTCCTGTCTGGGCTACAGCAATGGGTTTGTGCTGGGGAGTGATCAGTGAGGAAGCCAAGTCCATGGCAGTGGGAGGAAGGAAGCCAGCACCACCTCATAGTGGTGGCACCAGCCTCACAGACCACGTGTGCACCCCCCTCTGCCCAGACCTTTGCTGATGGGGCACTGGGGACTTGCAAAATTGCCGTCTCTTTTCTATGAACCATACCTGGAGCCCAGCCCCCCTCCTCACACCCTTTGAAAATGAAGTATGTGCCTGAGAGGTCTTGGCTGTATGGAAGTTTTGGCATGCAGCTCAAAGGCAAGGCTAACTATCATGCAACAACAGGTGCACCAATGAGTATTCTGCTTAATGCAATGAAAAGCTTTTTGTTCTGTTTCTTTTAGTGTTTTTATACTAGCAGATTCGAGAAGATAGAAATCATAAACTATGTGTTTACCTTGGATATCTGATTTTTGACACTGTATTGTGGTGCAAGTTTTCCCTTTCCTTAAATGAAAGATCACAGTTTTTGATGGGCCTGTTCTTAGGTACTACAAAATCAGTAGCTGTATAAAGTCTTGTGGTGTATACACTTTTGTGAGCACTAAGAGCAACAGCAGTTTCTAGCAAGAAACAATCAGCAGCTATTGTATGTAGAGATCTGCTGGGACCACAACAATTCTGCCTTGGTCTTTATGCCACACCCATAGCTAAAACGGACACCCCACTAGCAGCTTCTCTGACAAGATAAGCACTCCTGCCGTGTCCTCAGGGCTGCTGTAATGTGATATGGTAATACCCTGGAGTAAACCTAAGGACTTTGTAAAGGAACCAACTTGTAGCAAAGTAGAAAGTGTTAAAGATTAATCTTAGTGTTTCATGATTTCAGTTAGAGAATTTCAGAATATTTTATTCTTGCAAACAGTGCATGTTTGTAAGTGTACCTCTGCAGTACGGTCAGCTGGTTATTGTCTCCTTATTTGTTTACTGTGCTTTTTCCTTTAGAAGTGTACATACAGATAGTGATGGAAAATTCAATATTTCTGTTTTGTGAATTTCCTAGTAAATATATTCTGTATGTCATCTGGTACTGCCAAATTTTCTTCTGCCACCCAAGAAGAACTTTTTAGTGCTGTAACTGTGAAGAATAATGTTCGTGTCTTAAACTAACCGAGGTCACCACTGACAGCCTTCAGGATAGCAACACACAGAAGCATCTCCAGAGTCCTGCAGTAAATGTCATGGAGTATTTGGAGGCCTAGATGTGTAGGCCAGGCTTTAACCGCAGGGAGAGAGAATTTAGTAGACTGTAAGTAATTTCATGTCTGCCCTACTACCCATGCAGACAGCCTGAGGAAGGAAGAGTGATTGGAGGAAAATCAATATGCGAAGAGGGAAGGTGTTAGGTTTTCAGTCAAAAAGATGGTCCTTAACAAGCATAGTGTTTTCTTCTGCTTGGTTGACAAAAAGTAGATCCTCTCATGGTTTATAACATGTTGGATTACAGTCTCAACTGAATTGATTTAAGGGATAATGTCTGAATAGAATTTAAATTGTGATTTAAATAATAGCTTTATGTTGTGTCTCTCTTTTGGTACAGAAAACAAAAGAATTTATGAACATGTGAAAGCTGTTAGAACATTTGCTTGCAAATGAGGATAATCTGAATTTTAGATTTTCTTGTTTGTTTAACATGACTGAAGCTCAGTGGTCAAAACATGGGGGAATCTAGTGGAAGAGAGCTTTCTGTCAAAGGTTAGCACAGGACTAGAGCAGGTTGCCCTGAGAGATTTTGATATCTTTGTTTTTGAAGGCTTTCACGACAGATTTAACCAAACAGCACTGTGGCTGACCTGACCTTGTTGTGAGTAGGCCTACTTCAAGTGGGAGTTTGGCTTGGATAAGCTCCAGAGATTCTAGCTAACCAACATTACTATGATTTTTCAGATCTGCCGCCTTCCTTGGCCTATAAAGATACTAACACTGGCTAATAAGTTCTGGGAGACATTATATGACACAATTCTGGCTGGTCACCTTTCTAATTCTTTAATTTCTTGTAGTTATGAGCAATGTCAGAAGCTTTATGTTTCTCTTTTGGAATTTTTCTGCAAATAATTTGGGTTTTTTAAAGGTATTTCTTGATTTATTGTATATTTATTTCAGTTATCCATTATGTTCTCTGTTAATTGTTTGATGTTGCATTTTTATTTAAGGATTTTTTTTCTCGTCTGTGTGAATTGCATTTTAATTGAATCTGATTTTTCTATTAGCATGTGCAATGTTATTTGATTAATTAATAAAACTACCTAGAATATAGAAGAATCAGGGAAGAAAATGTGTTAAAACAGGTTTTGCATTGGAAACAGGTTAATTGAATGCATGTGGTTTCATCTGAGACATGTCCTTCAATTTAAAACTAGTAAATCTGATTTTTGCAAATCTCTGCTAACCTAAGAACAAAATGGAGCAAAATAAGTTGTACTGTTTTTTTGGTGCCAACTCGTTTTTCCCCGCTTTGAACAACATAGTTGTTGATCTGATTTTAGGGAGTCATGCAACCATAGAATAGCCCAGGTTGAAAGAGACCTCCAAATATCATCTGGTTCAACCTTTCGTGGGAAAGGGAGCCTAGGTGAGATTATCTAGCATCCTGTCCGGTTGCGTCTTGAAAACTTCCAGTGATTGGGACTCTACCATGGCCTTGGGGAGGTTGTTCCAGTGATTGGTTGTTCTTACTGTAAAAATTTCTTCATGTCCAGATGAAACATCTCCCAGTGCAACTTGTACCCATTGCTCCTTGTCTTCTCTGTGTGGCTCCTGGCGAAGAGAGATCTTCCACCCTCTTTGTAGCTGCCCTTTAAGTACTGGAAAGCTGTGATGAGAATCCTCCCTGAGCCCTCCTCTTCTCCACATAGAAGAGATCTAACTCCTTCAGCCTTTCCTGATAGGGCAGGTTCTCCAGCCTTTGATTATCTTTGTGGCCCTCCTTGGACCTCTCCAGTCTGTCACATCTTTCTTGAATTGTGGGGACCAGAACTGGTCACAGTACTCCCAGTGCAGCCTGACAAGCACTGAGTGGAGTGGGATGGTCTGTGTCTCTGTGAGCAGTGGCCTTGTGGATGCAGCCCAGGATCCAGTTTCCTTTTGTTGCTGCAGTGGCACACTGCTGACTCCTGTTCAGCTTGTTGGTGTCTACCAGGAGCCTCAGGTCTTTTTTGATGAAGCTAATCCCCAGCCACACAGATCCTAGCCTGCGCTGAGCTCTCTTCTATGTCCTCCCAGGTGCAAGACCTTCCACTTGTCTTAGTTAAACTTCATATAGATTTTGATTTAGTCTTTCTCTGAAAGGTTTTATTAACATATAGAAAATCTTCATTTTAAAAATCTCAAGGTGCTTATGATAAATGTGGCTTTTTTGTTTTGAATGAAAGTTTAGGAAGTAAAAATTCAGTGTGTTTAGTCTTTTGGCATTAAATCTGTTCTTCTGAAAAAATGTTTGTGATTCCTGTGTTTTTGCACTAAGCTTAATATCTGAATTTAATGTAAAAGTTTGGGGAGACAAAGTTTTAACGTTGAAACTTACATTTCTACAGTTTGAGGTCTTCTGTGTGCATGAAATCAGAGTAAAGAACAATGATAATCGCTAAAATAAAGTGCTTACTTATTCTTTCTTTGTGGCAATGAGTTGCTACTTGTGTAAGTCCACATGGGTCTGAAAAAAAAAAGCCTCATGTTCATAGACAGGTCATTAAATTTGGCACAGATGGCCAGGTATTCTGTATTTGTAGAGGTGGTAACTCTTACTGATATACATAAAAAAATAAGCTTATCTGTGTTTAAGAAAATATTTCAGCTGATGGTCATTGTTGTGTATGCAAGATTTAGTCTGCTTTTTGCAAGTAGGGAAATGGAAAAAGGAACAATGTCAGATGCCAGCTGCTGTTATGTAAAGATTGGTTGTTGATTCCTCATTAAACACGAAAGTAAACAAAGAGCCATCGTCGAATATTTGGACAAGGGGTCTGATTTAGCAGTACACCATTTCTCATTGTTTCTGTTGCTGTTCCGCTAATGTCAGTCTTTTCCATTTTGGACTTCTTGCTAATTGTTACCCAAATTAAAGTCCTGCTCAAATAGTGAGTATACCGATCAACTTTTTAGGCTAAGGCGAGGAACTGGGACATGAAAGTATATTGGCATATGCTTTGTTAATTTTTCTGCATGCTTAATGGCAAGATTCTTAGATACTGTGCTCTAGAGAAAGATGTGAAAATCCTGTAGGATACTCTTTGAACATAAATTTGACATGGGATTAAAAAAAATCTAAATGTGTTCATCCTCTCATTTCCCAGATTTTATTTTTTAAGAAGCAACATGAAAAATCATTTTATGTCTATATTAAATCCTGCCTCAGCTTTCTGCCTTCTTTGTTTTTATCTGTCTTCCAGGTGTTTATGTTTTTCTTACAAGC